TGGGTATGTACACAGGAATAAAACAGCGGATTGAATTGTAATGCACTTAACTGCCCGGCGGCTCCACAGCGACAGAGCGGCCAGCGACTCGCTAGCTGCGCTCCCCACCACTCAGCTCCCCCACCAGTTAGCGTGCTACGTTTATTATATGTAATACACTACAGATATAAATGAATTAAGTCCAAACACGAGGTAGTTACTGAAACCGTCCAGGAGTTCCCTGAGCTGTCCTTTGTTCTCATTATCAGACCCTTAATGACAGTCACGACCTTGGTGCAAAGTGTTCACCAATACGAATCATTCAAGCCCAAACGGCACGCAACGGCAACGGCAAGTTGTAGCGTTGTCAAAGTCTACTAAAACTACATGCAAAATCACCACTCGCCCCTACTTTTAAAAGTTCCCCTTGATTTCTCTGGTCTTTCATCAGATCCTGATTTCCTTATCATGGGACCATTCTGAGACGATCTCCTTTCCAACAAAAAAAAAGAATTATCAAAATCGGTTCATAAATAACGGAGATATCGGCGAACAAACATAAAAAAACGCATATATACGGTCGAATTGAGAACTATCCTCCTTTTTGAAAGTCGGTTAAAAATGGCCTCGGATTCGGCAAAATATAATAGTGTACAGTCTCAAAAGACTGACATAGGCAATTTCATTTTTATAAATAGTTGTACAATACGGTAAATAAACGAGTGCAAATACTGCTACGCAGTGACCAACATTGGAGAAAGGAATCGTTAACAGTTTTCGTTGTAAACATAACTTTACGCAATAAACTCGTTGGAAACTACGTGACCTACTCTCTTCGCACTTCAACCTGAACAACATCTTCCTGATAAATGTACAGAATCGTACAAATAGATAGTAATCTCAAATGAAAAGTGTTTAATGTAGAAACAATAATTACATGGGTGTACCGTGTAGTTACACTCGATCCCCACTCTATCCCATAACCGAGAATAATTATTTATAAAAATGTAGTACCGAATAGCTCGAAAGATGGCGATATGGTTTCGTGACACGGCAAATGGTATAAAGCAAACTTCAGAAGAATAAAATTGTCTTGCTCTGAGGTACCTATCGTCGTTTTCATTCGGGGATCCCTGGCTGCAAGGCACTCTGTACTCATTATGCACAACAACAAGTTGGTATTGAGAAGTATATTCAAATTAGTAACAAATTTATTATTTCACATTTATAAAATGTATCACAAATGCTGTACATGTATTATTTGAGAAACTTGCTATCCACAGCGGTTAAAACTGGCAGTTTACTGGAACGGGACCTTGCAGATGACTGGAGCGGGGCCCTGTAGTATATTGGATCGGGGGCCTAGCAGGTGACTGGGGCGGGGCCCGGCAGGTCATAGTGGCGGGTCACAGCGGCGGCGTGGCATTGCGCGGCACCAGACGTAGGCCGCGGCGCAGCAAGACGGGCCGCACGGGGCGCGCGGGGCCCGCGCCGCGCCCCGCCGGGCCCGCGCCGCGCCCCGGCCGCGCCGCGCCGCGCGACGCGACGATGACGCGCGTGTAGCGCGAGCCCGAGGTGACGGTGACCGGGCGGGCCGCGTCGGCCTCCAGCGCCGCCTCGTCGTCCGCGAACACGATGGGCAGCCGCATGATGTCCGCGGCGCCCAGCTCGCCGCCCCCCGCGCCCCCTGCGCCCCCCGCGCCCCCTGCGCCCCCCGCGCCCCGCCGCGGCGGCAGCAGGGCGAGGGGCGTGGCCCCGCTGCCGCGCGACACTAGCGCGGCGTCTCCGCCCCGCTCGCTACAACTATGATAAAGTCAAAGTCAAAATCCAAGCCATAGCAACTAAGCTATATACAAACCTTTGAAACGTCGTAATTGTAAAGTGCTCGTTCCAAAGTGTAGTTTCACATGGAGAAGAACGAGCAACCGATACAATTCCACACACACATTATTGCGGCTATATGTTAGAAGAATGCAGAGAACAAGAACAAACTATAGAATCAATTCAAAACTCTCGAGTTAAATTAATAAAATGAGAGAAACATTTGATGCATTCCTTGTTGGAATTTAAGTAACTGCTGACTATATTTAAGATTTATCCGGTGGAACCGAATCAATGTGATGCAAGATTCTTCAGATACCATTCTTATTTTTTTTTTTTTTTTTGTAGCTATTGACACAACATAACCCCTTTAAGGTTTTCTGTACTTTCGACAGACAGAGGCGTGGCACAGCCAGCCTATCTTAAATTATATTTTATTGCTATTTTTTTCAAATAAGAGACAACTAATTTAAAATTCCCGACTCGAACGATGGCTGAAGTTTCAGGTTGTGTGAGTAAATGTACGAGCATTGTTTTAAATATTGCTTTGTTCACACGCGACGGTCAAGCGTGCATTAATAATATTGACCACGGCCGGCAAAGGCCTCTTTGGCACATGATGTATTTGTTTTTTAAAAAAAAAAACGTTGCCCGTTCCCTTTGTTGTATTAAATATATGAGTGAGAATTGACGGCTTACTTGAGGGAGGACAGAGGTACAGACGGAGTGGGAGGCGCGGCGCTCGGCAGGTGTGCGAAGTCCTCCGCGTCGCCGTCGTCTAGCGCGCGCAGCACGCGGCGCCGCGCGCCCCCGCTCGCGCCCCCGCCTGCGCCCCCGGCCGCGCCCCCCGCCGGCGCCCCGCTGGGGGGCCCGCCGGCGCCCCCGCCGCCGCCCAGCGCTACGTCCAGTACCCAGCGCACACACTCTTCCTGCACAATGTAATGGTACATTACGGTACAATATAATGGTACTATAACAGACAGAAGTGGACTGTCAGTCTCGCAAAACTATGGCAAAGCAATATTAGTTGTACTTATGACCTTCTTCTATAAGAACATTTGACAACAGTTACACATTAGCAACTTGTTGCCCGCTTATGATTGTTATTACATATTTCAATGACTTTCTTAAGCGATAGCGTCCTCCGTCGACTTTGCCTGTTAAGTGACTTTTTAGTGTTTTGAGGTTAGGTTATAAAAAATCGTTTTTCTCGGAAACGGTGCATTGCCTTGTCATGGGAGTGGTACTGGGGGAGAGAGGACATCTTCTCCCTCCCCCCTACCCCACCATTTCCCTCTCCTCCTGCGGCACGATCCTAAAGTTATACCTTTCTTTTATAAAAAAAATACAATGTTACCATACCAAAATTTGTTTAATTTATTATCATTATATTAAATTACCTTTATAATAACTATTTGTTCAAAGTAATTTACAAAAATAAATTACCAAAACAATAATTATTGTAAAATAACTTAAAAGACCAGTCCACCCTGGATTCGAACTCATATCTACCACGATCACACTAGGATCGTTACCAATCTAGCTAAGGTTAACTTAAGTGTGCTAGTTGACATTTTGCATTACTGTGAAATCAAACGGTGATAAAAACAAGTTACTGATATTGTCATCCTTGTCTAACGTTGACCACATCTGTTATTATTACTCGTAGCAATACGACATGTTAATTTGTTAGCGTTTGGAACATCTCTTACACGGATAAATATGCGTATGTGTGTGTAGGCGCCGCAGCCCGTATAGCTCAAACAATAGTGAGCATTGAGTTGGAAGCGCACTTTTGACATATGACTGCACATTATGGTACAATGTAATAGTACATTATGGTACACTGTAATGGTACATAATGGTACATTATGGTACAACGTAATGGTACATTATGGTACAATATAATGGTACAATGTAATGGTACATTATGGTACAAGGGCGTAATGTTGCTGATTAGCCGAGGACGGTGATTGTAGGCAGAAATGCACTGCTTTAATTGGCATTCACAGCTGTTTTATAAAGAATTATAGAGATTTTTTCCTCTGCATTATCTATAACATAAAAATGAATCGCAAAATGTGTTGGTAAGCGCATAACTCAAAAACGCCTGGACCAATTTTGCCAAATCCTTTTGTTTTGTATTAATTCATGTATGTCAGGAGAAGGTTCTTTCGAAACGGTTCGATTTTAATAACCTTTGACCTTATTTTTGACAGATACGGACACCTAACTGTGTGTAGGTTTCCGTTCGTCAGTGTCCGGGTTGCAGCCCCGGCCCAGACCAGGATAAGGATCGGAATGAATTCATGTCAGCGACTGATGATTTTACCTCCGCAAAAAGGTAATAAATAAAATGCATTGAATGTATCGTTTCATTTAAAACTAAAATATGTTTCGTTATGACAATATTGTTCACACATTTTATAAAAATAATGTAATAATCAATTTTATGCGTCTGACAATTAACACACGAAAATAATCGCTTAATCACACGTTATAGGTCCACGGGCTGTATAACTCTTGTCTAACATTTCATACAATTTTCTCAATGATTACAACAGCTGTATACGCGAGAAATGTCAAAAGTTGATTATTAGTAATGAGTCTGTTATACCTCTGTTATAAGATGTGTGTAAATATTAGTAAGGGGGTTTATATTAATTACGTAGTTAGATTTTAAAGAAATAAGAAAGCTACTTGACGCAGAAATGATAACCGTTAAGACGTTTGGAGTTTCAAGCAAATTCTATAGAAAAGTATCATTTTTGAAATTTGGGTAAATGTATTAAATTAGACAAGTTGGAAATACTATTTTGTAGTTTAAAAAAATATAAATGAATAGTATTATTATTTTTGTGTGTTATGTTGCTTCCGTCCGTACGTCACTGTAAGGATGCCAACTGAAAACCAGTGTTGGGTTCTCACTGAGCCCAACTTTACTGAGATGGCAACCCTTTTGGCATGGGCACGTTTTTTTTTGTCAGGGAAAATTCTCTAAATCTCTCGTCCAGGGTTAGGCGAGAGAGAGGGTCAGACTCTTACTGATTAAAACCCACCCCGTTTGTCTTCTCCTGCTCTGGGTCGAGGCCGCGGTACCTCATTGCGCTTACTCCGCAACCCCGGCTAAACATCAGCCCTATAGGGCCCCGTCTGTAGTGGCCTATGGGCTCTTTGAGGCGCGCGCGGAACGCTTCGGTCTAGTTCTGGTTGGGCTGCGAGCTACCCTTACTCGCCGTCCGCAGTTTCGGTATACGGTGGCCGGAGTCAATGTCTCGATCCCCGACGCCTGGATGTCGCCTACTGCGGCAGCTGGGGCGCAAGGAGGATAGTTCCCTCACGCGCTCCGCCTTCTCCTTTGCGAACGCTTATATTTTGCGAAAAAAAAAATTTTTTTAGAAAGGGTGACACACTGACCGCCACGGCAGCGTCCACCGCGTCCTGCGCCAGCCGGCGCCGGCGCCGCGCCCCCGCCGCCAGACGCAGCCAGTCGTCCGCCCCGCGCAGCTCCAGGACGCGCCGCGACTGATCGCGCGCCGCGCTCCGCCAGCTCTGCGCCGCGCCCCGCCAGCACTGCGCCGCGCCCGACCCCGTCACCACCAGCGCCGGCACGCGCAGCTCCGCCAGCGCATCCTCCGCCGCGTCGCGCTCGCCCTCCGCCGTCAGCAGCGGCGGCGCCAGCAGCAGCAGCGCGCGGGCACGCGAGCTGGCCGCCAGCGCCGCCGCCAGCGCCGCGCCCGGGCCCGCCCCGCCCAGCACCACGGGCCGCTCCCCCGCCTCGGCAAGCGCCGCGCCCAGCGCCGCGCGCAGCCCGCCCGCCACCGCGCCGCACCACGCGTCGGGCGCCAGCGCCGCGCCGCCCGCGCCCCCCGCGCCCCCCGCCAGCAGGCGCGTGTGTAGCAGCGCCCCCAGGCGGCGCACCCAGCGCTGGTCCTGGCGCGCGCGGCCGCAGGACACCCACAGCAGCCAGGGCGCACCGGGCCCGCCCGCGCCCACGCTGGCGCCCACCGCGCTCAGCGCGCTGTCGCTCGCCACCGGGCCCTGCGCACCCGCGACGCGCTCCGCCAGACGAGGAGCCGCTCGCCGCAGGCTCGCCAGCGCCGCGTCGTACAGACGGCGCGGGCCGCGCGGCAGCTGGGCCTGCAGCGCGGCGTGCAGCCAGGCATGCGCGGGGCGCGCGGCGGCCGCGCCCAGCGCCAGGCGCAGGCGGCGCGCGGCGCAGCGCACGGCGTCGGCCGCGCGCCCGCCGCCCAGCAGCTGCAGGCGCAGGCGGCGCAGGACGTCCAGCACGCACTGCGCGAGGCGCGCGTGCGCGCCCGACGGCGCCGCGGCGACTAGACGCGCCTCCCAGTCGTCGTCCGGCTCGCAGTCGGCGTCGTCCTCTTGCAAGGAGCGCAGGGCGTCGTCGTCGTCGGGCAGGTCGGGCGGCGCGGGCTCGAGACGCTCCACGTCGAGCGCGGAGTCGGCGACGAGGCGCGGCGCCAGCAAGACGCGCAGGCCGTGCGCGGGCCCGGCCGCGGCGCCGCGCGCGCGCGCGTACGAGTGCTCCACCCACACGCCGCAGCGCGGCTCCTGCAACGCTAGCACTGCAGGACCTCTCCAACACTCGACTACGTCACGATAATACTATCTACGCAGTATTGTAACTCGGCCGCATTTTATGGTTTTACTAAAGGTCACTACACAACTGACGCCGGTGCCACTTTAATGATTCAATGCTTAGGAGCAAACAAAGAGTGCTGTTGGTGTATTTTTCAAAACTCTCAAAAGCGTTCGATTGCGTTACACACTGCACTCCGTCTATTAAAATCATATTTGGAAGATCGGCAACTGAGGGTTCATTTAGGTGGTTCTAACTCACAGGGCTCTGAAATAAAAATGGGCGTTCCGCAGAGTTCAATATTAGAACCATTTCTTTTCTTTTGACTTGCCATTTCTATTTAAAACTGAACCAAGAATGGTACTATTTGAGATGATATATTTCAGATGATACATCATTAATTTTTAAAATAGAACGTCGTGCTGCTAATATTTTTGACGAAGTAAACTGATGCTATCAAAACCGAGAAAAATACAGTTTTTTGTGGTATACATAATAATATGCTGTTATAAAAGAACTAATTATAATGACAAAAAATAAACGGAAATAAACATTAAAGGACAACATTATGTATCCAGGTAATTTATTTATTTATTATGAAAAAGTAGGCCACAGCATAATATATGTGTACAAAGTAGTTACAACTATTCGTTATATGCAGGTCTTACACCAGTTACGAGCTAACCAACATTCTTAAAATTATGCGTTTGTACAGACAAAATATATAGAAATAATAACTAGAACTAATAAAACTAACATAGGACGAAAGTAATTATCATAGTAATAGGTAATATAAAAAAACATGTCCTACTCTAAAACATGCGTTATTGACGAATTCGTACGTATGTCCGATCGTCACTATGCTACAGTCGTGACTGTCTGCGCCCCAAGCGCTCCTTGAGGTCGAGGCGCGCGTGTATAGCTCGCGTTTTGTCCGTTTGTTTAGAGTTGGAATACTGCATAGATAGTACTACCATGGCTACGTTGCCTAGGTCCAATGCATAATACTCACGTGTCCTCCGGCCAATGCATGTACGTAGGCGACGAGTCGCTCGTGGAGCGCGCTTGCCTTCAAACCGGTTTCATCTGTATCTTCACCCATCTGATAGTAATAACATTTTGCGATTAGAAAATGTTCACACGTTTTTTGAAAAAATATTTGCCGGTATGGACTCTCGCTTACATTTTAATTCTTGAGGGTGGAGTACATAACTTTTTTTACTGTGGGTGTTGACATCTCCTGTTTTATCATTTTTTCTCAAACAAACAGGCAAATGTCCAGTCTGAATATTGAGGATAGAGTTAGCATCTGATATTTTATGAAATGGGGTTTGTAGCTCTCTGTTTTATCTTTTTTGATTAAAATTGTAATAAACTTTGTTCCTAAGATGAATAGTTCATTTACTTATACAGTATTTCCCCATAACATCATTTTTTGCTTATCAATATGAACCTTAATAAATACACCAAGCAGCCATAGCCACAATGTTGGTGCTTAATTTTATTTGAAAAAGAGCATAAGAGAATCTGGACAGCTTTTATATATGATCAGATGATAGACACTTGTTTTACTGGCTATGTACAGTGAGGGGTCAACCCGCCTCTAAGATGACCCACTGACCCAAAAATGCAATTACACTCTACCAATTTTAAAATGACTAAAATTTCTTTGTAGTAAAAGTTCAGTGGTTCACAGCCAGTTTATTCAATAATTTGGATTCTATGCTATAAATTAAAGCAGTCCTCAACATTGACTCTATTCTACAAAGATATTTTGGTCATTTTAAAATTGGTACAGTGCAATTGCATTTTTGACCCCTGACTTTACATAAATAACTTTTCTGACTACATATTTTTGTCTTGTATTCATTTTGTAACATTTAGTATATAACAACACACATACCATCTATTGTTGCATTAAATATCATTTGTTGTGTGGTTTAAAACATGTGAGTACAGGGATTTTAATGCACTTGGTTCTTACTACTTACATATCCTGAGCAAGTTTTAGCAAAAAATAATTATTGAAGTTGTTTAGAGAAATGTGGCCACTATCAATTACTTTACATTAGTAATTGGTATTTTCAATGATAATTATTATGCATGTCATTGGATAACTACAATGTCTACCCGGGGCTGTGTGTGTGTGTGCGTGCCATACACAAGCAGTGAGCAGTCCATCATTGTGAGTCACTAATTAAATAATTGTCATTGAAGAAATAATAATAGAAGCATAATTAACAATAACAGATTGCATTTTCAACTACTTTACGAATAGTGTTGCAATACATAGGCACAGAATCTTCCCAAGATGAAACATGTAAAGAATCAAAACTCATGTCCGAAGGTGTATGCAAGCACTTTCCCATGACTCTATTCTAATTCTCAGACTTGAAGACATTCCCAATGTAAATAAAATATTTACAAGATTTTTTAATAGGACACCTTATTAGGTAAAGCATAGTTTTAATTTTGTACTTTACCACTACCACTAAGGGGACCTAAACCTTTCATATAAAAATTTTGTAAAGAATGTTAACATTTAGTTACCTAATTACATAAATATAAGTAGTCATGCACTATAGTTTCTTATAGCAAAACCATTTTAAGTGACTTGATCAGTTACGGCGGTAGCAGGATTAGGTAGAGATTTACACTTACTTCGTGAGGCAGGCTACTGCCAGAACCTTGGTGACACACGCTACCAGTGGCCATCACCATTTGTTAGGACAGATCTATTACACAACGAATTATGCCTTGCAAATAATATTACAAAGCGTACTTGTATACATAAACAAGTTTTACAACACTTTATGTATATAGTTTTCTATAATTGTATTCAGCTGGAAAAAACTTGTACTTTGATTACAACCGCGGCAGGTATATCAACAACAATGCGTTTGTTCAAGCTTGTTGAAATAACCTTCTTTATTTATATTATTTTCAAACTGAAAACTGACAATAGTAACAATGACGTAACATTGACTTTGACAGATTTTCACAAAATACTATTAGGTGCCCATTGACTAATGGCGATGCGAAGATCAATCAAAGGTCTTTGGCAAAGATTCTAACTAGCGCCTCTAGTGCCAAAATTGTGAAGCTGTCTAAGAACGACACTTTGACAGTTTTCCTAACGTCAGGGAAAAAATAAATTATAAAAAAAAAACAGATTTAAGTGGCATTTTGCTGTTTAAGGGCTGATTATTCATCATCATCATCATCATCAGCCTGTTGTCGTCCACTGCTGGACATAGGCCTCCCCAATTGCACGCCACTGAGCTCGATGTTCAGCTCTTCTCATCCAACCACTTCCAGCCACCCTGCGGATGTCGTCAGTCCACCTAGCTGGAGGGCGCCCTACACTTATTTATTATTATTATTCAATAAACAGATAAAATGTTATCTGAGTAATAAAATTGTTGCCGTCACTGTCTTATACAAACATTGTGACGCGACAGCATCGTATTAATTCCACAGGTAACTTTTATCTAACCATTGAAAAATCAGCCCTAAGACAATAATTTTGGTGTCAATAGTCGATGTTTCTTTTAAAAAAGGTTCTATTGAATAAATACCCGTAAACGAAAATAAATATATATCACTACTGAGTAAATTTAAGAGGGTTAATTGCTCTAAAGCTAATCTATTCTCTTCCCACATAGGAAGAAAATTTATTTGAGTGCTCTTTCTAATGGTACTTCTTTATTGGAGCTTATTGGTGGAATATTCTGAGACGGTACGACATAAGGAAAAAACCATAATCGCGTTATCTGACGAAAATCTCGCCTTAGTGTAAAGTAAATGAATAACTTATGTTATATATTATAAATATAAATTATGTAAAATAAAATTATTATTCTAAAACACAATTATACTTTCTGTTTGGCAAAAAGTTTTATGCTTGAAAATAAAGAGAACGAACTCTCCTTGATGATGAAATTGGCTTGCCTATTCTTAAAGCAGTCTTCCATTGTTTCTTAATGATTTTGTCTATTGGGAATAAATGAAAACTAATTCCCGTATCTCCGTATTTACTACAAACATTGAGGAACGCAATAATATTTCGTCTATCTACTTTTATTAGTAACAGATTTCCGTATATAATCGTGATCCATCTGAATACATACGGACGGATATTTCTAGGATGCCATCGGAATATTTTGCGATCTTTCGAAGGCTTTTGACTGTGTTGACTGTGTTGTGAGCACGAGACACTATTGCTGAATCTGCAACACTACGGCATTCGGGGGTATCTCTAAATCTAAATTTATGAAAGTCATACATTCTAGAAAAACTACTTACAGTACAAGTAAACAGAGTAAACTCACAGGGTGCTAGCGTATCTATGGGCGTACCACAGGGCTCAATATTGGGTCCATTCCTATTTTTGGTTTATTTTAATGATCTGCCTCATTTATTCCAAAGTGAACCGCATATGGTATTATTCGCTGATGACACTTCATTGATTTTTAATTTAAATAGACGAACAAATAATTATGACGAAGTGAGTAATGCCTTAATGCATGAGTGAGTAATGACGTATGCGATGATATATTATTAAATGGCCAGAAACTGTAATTTGTAAAGGAGACCACATTCCTGGGGATTACTGTAGACGACAACCTACAACAACCTTAACCTCCTTTATACCCTTGAACGCGTCAAGGGTCTCGTGGCCCAGCCACTCTCTTATCCCCTTCGCCTCTTTTTTGGTGTCGGAGAGATCCGTTCGCATGAGGGAGAGCTCGGCCTTTAGCGCCATCACATCCCGATTGTGCGCCCTCTCGAGATTGTATTTATGGCGCGCTCTCGAGTCCGCCAATGACAGCACCGTCTCATACAGGCCCTGCAGGCACTCGTATGTCGCGGTTTTACACTCCCGCTTCATATTGCCTGCCGCTTCCAACGCCCCCTTGCCTTTCTGGAGAAGGTTGTTTGCCTCTCTTGTGGCCAAGTCCATCTCCACGCCTGTACCCTTTCTAGGTGTCCTGTACAGCATAGACTTTCTTTGGGTTTTGGGGAAGGTTAAGGAGTTCCCTCGGGGCTTACTTGGTCTTATGATGCGAAGTCCTCAGCTCCTGATGTATCCTCGGCTGGCAGATTCCTCGGACGTCTGTGGAGTCTCCAGGTATGGCTAGTTGGCCAGCCTTGCGTCACGCCTCGTGCGACAGAACCACGCGGTGTCAAAAGTGAGGTTAATTCTAACCTTAAACACACGTGCTCTGCTGATTTTAGGACGCTAATAGCTCGGAGACCCCTCGTCCGATTTGGCTGATCAAGATGTTGTTTTAACAATATTATATTTACGCGGGTATTAACGCGGAAAATTATAATTTGAATACCTTGGTAGGCTTGACGTTTCGACCCGGTTACACAGGTCGTGGTCACAAGCAGAATCAATCAATCAGAATGTGGTGAAGTGGTTCGTAGTATGGTCGGTAGCGCAGAGTCGTGGGACGCGGTGGTGTCCTTCTGCGAGGACGTGATGTCGCAGAAGGAAGCTGCAGAACGGGAGAGGGAGATCTCCACTTCCTTCCCAGGCCTTTTTTTTTTTTTTTTGTCAGGGGAAAATCATCCAATGACTTCTCCCGCCCAGGGTAAGGCGAGAGAGAGTGTCAGACTCTTACTGACTAAAACCCCCCCCGTTCCTTCTCCTGCTGTGGGCCGAGGTCGCGGTGCCTCATTGCGCTTACCCCGCAGCCCCGGCTAAGGCCGTAGAAGACGCACCGGGCGCAGAAGAAGGGCCCTCTTCCGCCCCCCATGAGCGAAGAAGGGGCGGACGAAGACGGCGTACACAACGTCCGTCGTCACCTGCTCCAGGGGGTGATCAGCGGGCGACAAGCGCGGGGGTGCAAGCGCCTGCATCGCACGAATCATCCGTGCTCCGGCCATTATAAGGGTCCACCACCCTTGTGCTTGTGCACCACCTGTCCCCCCTGTATGTCTCGAACGTCGGCACTTGGCCGCTGTTTAAGATCTGGAGATCCCGCTCATTGAGAAAAGCGTTGTATGCCGCTCCGTGATGGTTTTCAGAGACACTTCCCCACCACTGACTCCAAGCATTTATGTCGCCCCCTAGTACGATATTGTGTGTATGTAGTTTGTGTATTGTGTTGTGTGTGGCAGAAAGGTGTGGTTCTATTTCCTGGTCGCCCTCGAAGTAGACCGACAGCACCCCCAGGTTTAGCTGGCCCACTCTCAGTAGTACGGCGGCGATGTTTTCCGTCACCAGCTGGGGATCATGAATGACTTCAACGCTACCACCGAAGACAACTATCGCTGCTTTTACTGGTTTTTGGCGGTTCAAGCTGCACTGGATGACCTGCGTGCCTGGGAATTGCTTCATAACACCTGTATTTCCAATGTATGGTTCTTGGACAAGTGCCATTGTTATTCCCCTTGCTTGAGCCGTCACATGCAGTTCTTCCGTTGCCAGCTTGGAGCGTTGGAGATTGACTTGTATGAAGTGCAATCTCGCTGTCGGTGGTTTTGTGTTTTGGAGGGCGACTGGTTGGCTAGTTTGTTCGTTGTGGTCGTCCTCAGCAATAGGAAACGCGGGATCTCGCTATGCCATCCCATTTTTGGCGTTCCTGGCAGTCTTCGCTAAAGGCTGTGTGGGCCAAGTCGGTGCCTTCTTTTTTAGTGGCTTTGCAGTTTGAACACGTGGGCGGTTTGCCTTCTGCGCGGCTAGGACACTCTCGTCCATTGTGCGCTCCGCTGCAGTAGCTGCAGATCTCCCGGGGAGCTTTGCACAGGGACTTGTTGTGTCCGTAGCCGAGGCACTTGGTGCACTGCACCAGAGGAGACTGGTCTTCTACGGTGCACCTTTTTATACCCACGTGGACTTTTTGTGCCTGAGTGAAGCACTGCCACATTTTTGGAGAAAGCTCCAGCACGGGATGGCATTCGTGGGGGTTCCTCGCACGCTTCCTGTAACGCATCCTGACTGTTTGATCGGCTGGCGCGAGGTTTTGCAGAAGATGTTTATTCTGCGCTTTTAGGAGGTCCAATATCTCCTCGTCGCTGTAGCTCGTCAGGACTCCCCTTATACAGACCAAGGGGTTCTGGGGTTTCGGTTCCTGAACCTTGAGCCCCTTACTGGACTTGAATTGGTCTTTTATCAAGCCCAGGTCGGTTTTGCTGGCACATCGGAGGACCACTTTTTGGTTTCTGGCCTTGCGCACTGCGTCCACCCTTGCTCCAGTCGCTTTGAGGTCCAATGCGTCCCTGATCCTCTCAATGGCGTTGTCCCCGGTGTGCTGGGGATTTATTGAGGAGACGATGAGGGTGTGATTAGGCCCCTTAGCTGGTGTTACTGGAGTCCTTGGGGTGCTGGCAACCTGAGCAAAGGTTTTGGGGCCTTGTTCTTGCTGTGGCGGTCGTTCAGCTTTGCTCAGGTCTGCCACGTCTTTTTCTATTTTCTGGAGGGCCCTTTTTACCTCCACGACTGCAAGCTCTGCGTCAAAACTTGGCGCTGCCGGCGCCAGGTTAGGTTAGGTTAGGTTAGGTTAGGTTAGGTTAGGTTAGGTTAGGTTAGGTTGTACCTGGGCCTAGTCCTCGATAGTAAGTGGCGCTTCAGCGCACACTTCAGTGGGCTGTCGACGCGCTTATTGAGGACTGCGGGCGCCCTCTCGTGGCTCCTCCCTAACCTCGGGAGACCCGGCGACCAATGCCGGCGTTTATACGCCGGCATTCTCAAGAGCATGGCCCTATATGGGGCACCTATCTGGGCGGACTCACTGTGCAGACGGGAGAACGTCGCCGCCATCCGCAGGCCACAAAGGGCCATTGCACAGCGGGTGGCGAGGGCATATCGCACAGTGGGTTTCGCGGCGGCGTGCGCTCTGGCAGGAACTCCTCCTTGGGAACTCGAGGCTTGGGTCCTCGCCAGGGTGTACGACTGGACGGCAGAGCAGAGGGCGCTCAACCGTTCCCCGTGTCCAAGGGAACGGGAAAATGTGCGGGATGAGGTTAGGGAGGCAATCACCCGGCACTGGGCTGGAG